GAGAGCTTCACAATAACCCACAACACGAGAGCTTCACAATAACCCACAACACAAGAGCTTCACAATAACCCACAAGAGCTTCACAATAACCCACAACACAAGAGCTTCACAATAACCCACAACACAAGAGCTTCACAATAACCCACAACACAAGAGCTTCACAATAACCCACAACACGAGAGCTTCACAATAACCCACAACACAAGAGCTTCACAATAACCCACAACACAAGAGCTTCACAATAACCCACAAGAGCTTCACAATAACCCACAATAGCTTCACAATAACCCACAACACGAGAGCTTCACAATAACCCACAACACGAGAGCTTCACAATAACCCACAACACAAGAGCTTCACAATAACCCACAAGAGCTTCACAATAACCCACAACACAAGAGCTTCACAATAACCCACAACACAAGAGCTTCACAATAACCCACAAGAGCTTCACAATAACCCACAAGAGCTTCACAATAACCCACAAGAGCTTCACAATAACCCACAACACAAGAGCTTCACAATAACCCACAAGAGCTTCACAATAACCCACAAGAGCTTCACAATAACCCACAACACGAGAGCTTCACAATAACCCACAACACGAGAGCTTCACAATAACCCACAACACAAGAGCTTCACAATAACCCACAAGAGCTTCACAATAACCCACAACACAAGAGCTTCACAATAACCCACAACACAAGAGCTTCACAATAACCCACAACACAAGAGCTTCACAATAACCCACAACACGAGAGCTTCACAATAACCCACAACACAAGAGCTTCACAATAACCCACAAGAGCTTCACAATAACCCACAACACGAGAGCTTCACAATAACCCACAACACGAGAGCTTCACAATAACCCACAACACAAGAGCTTCACAATAACCCACAACACAAGAGCTTCACAATAACCCACAACACAAGAGCTTCACAATAACCCACAACACAAGAGCTTCACAATAACCCACAACACGAGAGCTTCACAATAACCCACAACACAAGAGCTTCACAATAACCCACAACACAAGAGCTTCACAATAACCCACAACACAAGAGCTTCACAATAACCCACAACACAAGAGCTTCACAATAACCCACAACACGAGAGCTTCACAATAACCCACAACACAAGAGCTTCACAATAACCCACAACACAAGAGCTTCACAATAACCCACAACACAAGAGCTTCACAATAACCCACAACACAAGAGCTTCACAATAACCCACAACACGAGAGCTTCACAATAACCCACAACACGAGAGCTTCACAATAACCCACAAGAGCTTCACAATAACCCACAACACGAGAGCTTCACAATAACCCACAACACGAGAGCTTCACAATAACCCACAACACAAGAGCTTCACAATAACCCACAAGAGCTTCACAATAACCCACAACACGAGAGCTTCACAATAACCCACAACACGAGAGCTTCACAATAACCCACAACACAAGAGCTTCACAATAACCCACAACACAAGAGCTTCACAATAACCCACAACACAAGAGCTTCACAATAACCCACAACACAAGAGCTTCACAATAACCCACAACACAAGAGCTTCACAATAACCCACAACACGAGAGCTTCACAATAACCCACAAGAGCTTCACAATAACCCACAAGAGCTTCACAATAACCCACAACACAAGAGCTTCACAATAACCCACAAGAGCTTCACAATAACCCACAAGAGCTTCACAATAACCCACAAGAGCTTCACAATAACCCACAACACGAGAGCTTCACAATAACCTCAGACATCCTAGTAAGCTCAGGTTAGTTTAGTTTACCAAAGCATCACACGTAAAAACAAAATTTTCCCACTTTGCCCAACTCAATAGTTCAGATTTTTCAACTTTCTCAATTCGTCGTACGTCGGTATATGGTCCTCAACGTTACTCTAATTACTACCAAAACAGGAGGATGGTCTGGATTGGTCGACTCGAGGATTTCCCAGAAGAGAACTCAGCCAATCACCGCTCAAGAGACGTAAAAATAGTTCTTCAAGGGAAATACGTACGTGAGACCGTGACGGAGTTAATCACAGTGAGTATGATTAATGTATATATATACATTAATCACAGTGAGTATGATTAATGTATATATATACATTAATCACAGTGAGTATGATTAATGTATATATATACATTAATCACAGTGAGTGTGATTAATGTATATATATACATTACTCTTCATAGAACACATCACAATATCACCACAACACTACGGTATCCAATCACTGATATTTAGTGGGCATCCAATCATCCACTGAACACCGTCATCCAGTCTAGTATCACCTTTCAGTCAGGGTGTAATTAGTGTGAGTCTGCGAGGACCTTAAGGAAGGTCACTTTCGTCTTCACAAGGTGGAACATCTGTTAATGTGTGACGGGGGGGGGGGGGGGGGGGGCGTCAAGGATAAGGCCAGAGACCGGAGCGATAAGTACCGTGTCACCTGATGCATGATGGCTTTGTTAACAACCACTGAAGTGTCGTCACCTGATGACTCGGTTAAGGTTTTGCTGTGTTATGGTAGGATAGGTTAGGTTATGGCAGGATAGGTTAGGTTATGGTAGGATAGGTTAGGTTATGGCAGGATAGATTAGGTTATAGCAGGATAGGTTAGGTTATAGCAGGATAGGTTAGGTTATGGCAGGATAGGTTAGGTTATGGCAGGATAGGTTAGGTTATGGCAGGATAGGATAGGTTATGGCAGGATAGGATAGGTTTGTTTAAAAGAGTAGCGCTGACGTAGAGGGGTTCATATTTGTCTCAGGTCTTGGGTCCCACTCGGGAGGCGTGGGTGTGGGATCGTGGGATATGCTAAGAGAGACAATTCTTTGAGATAAGAATAGACAGACACTTTGCACCAAGAATGTATTATTAAATTTATTTCCATTAATTTGGTGATCTGTACTGTGTAAATAATTCGTGTAAATGTAATATTCTAACGTCAAACACTATTATAATATGTGTACTGTATTGATTAGTGAACCCCTCCTAAAGGGACCTGTAATAGTGGGTAGGAATAGCCTGTTACTCTATCCTGTTGGCATGGATTTTTTTTATTTCAATATACTACTTGATCTTGAATACTAAAGTCACTTTTTGTACTCACCTAGTTGTGTTTGCGGGGGCTGAGCTTTGGCTCTTTGGTCCCGCCTCTCAACTGTCAATCAACTGGTGTACAGATTCCTGAGCCAGATGTGGGCTAGTTTCCGTACTCGTTCTCTAGACTAGACTTTATAACATTGTCGTCAGAAGGTAAGAGCAGCCGTGGAAATTATGTTAATTTCCTTATAACATTCGTCCAGCCACTTGGGCTGGACGGTAGAGCGACGGTCTCGCTTCATGCAGGTCGGCGTTCAATCCCCGACCATCCAAGTAATTGGGCACAATTCCGTCCCCCTTTCCCTGTCCCATCCCAAATCCTTATCCTGACCCCCTTCCCAGTGCTATAGTCGTAATGGCTTGGCACTTTCCCCCTGATAATTCCCTTGCCTCCCTTATAACATTCATTTGATATATTTCACGATATATGTAAGACTTGCTCGTGGAAAGAGTAGAAAGGCAAGCTTAACCCCCCATATCCCCGTCGAGGCCACTAGAGAGAGATGGTGGCCCTCAGGTAAATTCGGACACTACAATGATGTGTGAACTACCGCAGACGAGGCCATTCGACCGTCAGCGCCAGGAGTGCCTCGGGGCCAACATTTACCCGACCCACGTGGCCACCTGTGGCACGGTGCCCCCCCTCCCCCCCCACCATGTTACAAGGCTCTTACTTCTAAGCTCTAAGATAATGAAGGAGTATTTCCGTGTCGCCCGGGGAAGCTTCAATTACACGGTGGTTAAACCCGGGTCGGCGCCACGAGCGCCACACAGCTGACGTGTGCATATACACGTGTCGCCTCAGGCACGCTAAACCCTCCCACATTGAAACTGAAATAAGTTTATTGAGGTAAAAATACACACAAAGGGATGAGGTAGCTCAAGCTATTCTCACCCCGTTCAGTACATCGTGTTAATACTTACACACACACACATCACAAACAATAAACGTATTAACGAACATTCTGAGAGATAAACATATACATTTCCTCCTTTACACAAGTAACCCTCCCACATGTTTGACTGAACGTGGCCTCAGACACTGCTTATGTACACCATATGATAAGGAGAAAACGCACATGACTCTGTAATATCTCCATAGCTCAAACATTACCTATTAGCGACAAAACCTACCATTCATGTATGATAATCACCTGTAAATACATAGCTATGGAAATAGAACATTCTCTGTAACTGGCTGACTTAATTATAAGGTGTGACCGATGAGATTGTTAATGTAATAATCTCCGTTGAGGTCTGATAAAGACCTTTACTGCCCACTGTAATTCTTTTTGCGCTACCGCTCACAAGATGAGTATGGGGCGCACAATAAACTAAAAAAATAAATCTGAAATGTTGGGTAACATGTTTTATAACCCTCCTGAGGCACAGTTAGCATGTTGGTCTGACATGACCACAACTCTCATCAACTACCGTATGCTCTCAACAATTATGGCGAACTCTTTAGAGAACTTGTGAAGGGCTTGTACTTGAGTACCAGCACTCACACTCCAGCGGGCAGGTCCTCCTCCTCCTCCAGCACACTAAGCCGTCACGGGTCTACCAACATAATCCTGCCCAAGCTATTGGCCAATTGAAATCTGGTCAAATTGGCAGAAATGACCTTGGTCATAAATAAATTGTGCCATTTAGAAGCCGGACCTTGAAGCTGGCGTGACAAAACCTTATTTCCTCCTCAACTATTGATTTGTGGTCGATTTACAATCGACTTGAGAATGGTCCAGGACGGACCGAAACGTCGTCGTCCCTTCACCTTCTAGTGTGTGGTCTGGTCAACATTGATTTGTGCTTATTCTTGGCCTTCCTGCTAACTGTCCTCCCTTCCCCTCAGGAGCCCCGGTACTCACCACAACGGAGGATGAAGGGCACGCCCTCCCAGCGCTCGTTGTGGATGGTGGTGACGGCGAGGGCGTAAGTGGGGGTGACGGAGCCAGTGGGGACGGTGGGGTCGTCCAGGTAGCCTTCCTTGGCGTCACCCTCGCCGGCGGGGTCACCCACGTACTGACCCAGGACCACGTCATCAACGGTCAGTTCCCGCATCGACTTGAGCACCTTCACCTGCGACAACAAAGGAATACCCAGTTAGTCACCCCGAGACATGTTGTTTAAGATTCAGCTACTGAGAACAAAAAGTTCTAAGTAGCACGGGCTATGGAGAGCCCGTAGTGGACTCACCTGGCACAGGAGCAGGGCTGATGTGTGACCCCGAGACAATCCAACGCTCTCTTTCAACAACATCGAAGACCAGTGTAGCGAAGTAACTCCTAATGCCGGTGTTTATGCTTTGAGACACTTCCACCTGCTCCTCAGGTGTGGAGGGCACCAGCAGCTCCCCCCCACCCGCCAGGTGGGGGAGGAGGAGGGCACCTTCCACTCTTCTAACATTTCCTAGTGTTGACTGGCAAGCCGCCGGGAGGTTCCCGGGCTGGTACGACAACTGGACAAAGTGAACACGTTCACCGACCAGTCATCCTAGCGCAAAACTTTACACGGTGCTAACATTACGTTACGTTAGATTACAACCTAACCTGACCGGACAAATGTGACGCATTTGCCCGTTTGCCCCCCTGTAAATTAGATTAGATTAGATTAGGGTGCCTTAGAGGGGGGCAAACGGGCAAATGCGTCACATCAGGTTAGGTTAGGTTAGGTTAGGCGGTGTAATTAGCCGTGATCATTTGCTGGCCACCAGGACTGTACATGACGTCACCAAGAGCTGAAGGTCTGTATGCGTGTCTCAGGTCCAGCTCCACGGTTTGTTATGACTTCTATTCCTTAAAGCCCAGGGTGCTATAGTTAGCTTAAGCCTTTATTATACACCCTATACCTATCCCGTGGGCGGAGAGGGCTACAGAGGCACATAATGAGATCAAGAATTGAGCCCCATATAGTTCATTGAGCTAAGCAAGTGACAATGTTGTGAAGCTACGTGCACAAGTGATTGAAAGAGAAGTGGCTGACAGTTGTGTATAGAGGGGCAGGTTACATGTGAGAGAGAGAGAGAGAGAAGATTAAGCCACCCAAAAGGTGTCTTGGGCATGAATAGCCCATAAGTGGTGGCCCTTTTGAGCCATTTCCGTATCAATAGATGATACTGGAGATCTGTGGAGGTGCGACTGCACCCTGCGTGACGGGAGATGTCTCCCGTCAAACATGTGCGGTGAGTGAGTTACTAATACTGCTCCACGCCCATGTCCACCCAACAGCTTAACAGCTTTACAGCAGCAGCAGCCGGCAGCTTACAGCAGGAACACTCTTGACGTTAGGTTTACATTAATGTCTTAGCCTTCCCTAAGGAATGAACGGCTCTTCTGGAGTCGGTTTTAATCATTATATTATTTTTATTAAGACTGTCATAACCACGTTCAAGGAACAGTTTTATAGCGAACATATTAAAACCAATGTGAGTAAAGAGCTGTTACTTGTGTTAGAGAGAGGGTTACGGGTTATTCATGCCCGTGCCACCTGTTGGGTGCCTTAATCTTCACCAATCACAGGGAGAGGGGGATGAGCATCTGATGAGCTAGGTTTACCCATGGCATGTTGTCTGGTTAAGGCGCTGGTATGCTCTCACGTGTGTCTACTTCATAAATGCATTCCTGGTGGCCAAACCATTCCATACGCTACCATTCCCGGTGGCGCTGCACGCGACCTCTTCCACGCACCTCACACATGACACACACACACCACTCCTCATGTGTTGACTACTCCCGTGCAGTGTGATGTCTCTTGTTGTTTAAGAACACTTTAACACCCCGTTGCCTCAGTGTTCCGTCATGCGCCCCAACCTGTGCCACTTGGAGCATCACACAGGTTCCTTGAAAAATACCTCATACCTGAAATTTCCCCACTCTCCAGCCTTTTTCTTGTGGTGGGATTTTCCCCTGCCATTGGGGGGGGGGATGATATCGTTGAGGGGGGGGGGGGGTGTAGGTTCCTTTCCTACTCTGCCTTGAGGCACTGAACACTTCAACCACGTCCTCCTCCTCTGACCCAAGTTCCTTTGATCAGTTGATGATATACTTAACCTGTACCCAATATTTACTACATGTGATTGAAGGTGATTGAAATCAACATGTGGTTGAGCGCTCATCGCCTGACTGCTGCATGTAGTGATGACAAGACCACACACTAGAAGGTGAAGGGACGACGACGTTTCGGTCCGTCCTGGACCATTCTCAAGTCGAAAAGTAGCTGTAGTCTTACAGCTATTTAGCCGTGTCTATGGAGGACAGACGAGCATGTATATACGCGGGTTACCATCTTCTTGAGGTTATCTTGAGATGATTTCCGGGCTTAGCATCCCCGCGGCCCAGTCCTCGACCAGGGCCTCCTTTTTTGTTACTCCCCAAGAAGCAGCCCGTAACAGCTGTCTAACTCCCCAGTTACCTATTTACTGCTAGCTGAACAGGTGAATCAGGGTGAAATAAACGCTGCCCATTTGTTTCCGCCTGCGTCGGGGATCGAACCCCGAACCTTAGGACTACGAACCCTGGGCGCTGTCCACTCAGCCCTCAGGCCAGGGCTGTAAGTACCATTCATGTACTGTACCAGGGTGTACTGTGAGTACCAGACATGTACTGTACCAGGGTGTACTGTGAGTACCAGACATGTACTGTACCAGGGTGTACTATAAGTATTGTCACTTGCTTAGCTAAACGAACTATGAGGTTCAGTTCCTGAACCCATTATGTGCCTCTGTAACCCTTTCCACCACCGCCCACGGGATGGGTATGGGGCGCACAATAATGAAAGAAATTGAATTGAATTGGTTAGGTGTTTAGGTTCTGTTGGCAATGATTAGTACTGTACATGTAGCACGTGGTGAAGCATTTACAGCGTTACTATTTGAACTGTCATCAGATCAGGCTCGTTAAAGCGGCGGCCATCCCCCCCCCCCCCAAGACACATTCATAAATTATTACAAACCGTGTATTCAAAATAGGTTTGTTATCATATATAAATTACTATTATATATTAAAGTTCTTATGTATAGTTTGGCGTCAGTTAGGTTCTGTTGAGGATTGTTTTTTAGTATTTGCAGTACGTGGGATCACGCAGTCTCCGTGGCGTAGTGGTAAGACACTCGCCTGGCGTTCCGCGAGCGCTTTGTCATGGGTTCGTATCCTGGCCGGGGAGGATTTACTAGGCGCAAATCCTTAACTGTAGCCTCTGTTTAACTCAACAGTAAAATGTGTACTTGGTTGTAACAACGATTCTTCGCGGCGGGGATCGTATTCCAGGGACCTGCCCGAAACTTCGCGGCGGGGATCGTATTCCAGGGACCTGCCCGAAACTTCGCGGCGAGGATCGTATTCCAGGGACCTGCCCGAAACTTCGCGGCGGGGATCGTATTCCAGGGACCTGCCCGAAACTTCGCGGCGGGGATCGTATTCCAGGGACCTGCCCGAAACTTCGCGGCGAGGATCGTATTCCAGGGACCTGCCCGAAACTTCGCGGCGAGGATCGTATTCCAGGGACCTGCCCGAAACTTCGCGGCGGGGATCGTATTCCAGGGACCTGCCCGAAACTTCGCGGCAGGGGATCGTATTCCAGGGACTTGCCCGAAACGCTACGCGTACTAGTGGCTCTACAAGAATGTAACAACTCTTGTATATATCTCAATAAAAAAAAATCATTTACAGCGTTGCGATTCGAACAGAGGATGTCAGCGAAGCACTGCTCGAGAAATGTTCGAGCGTCATCACTTGTGAGTCGTGTGTGTGTAAAGTGTTTGCCCTCTATAAACCAGGTGGTTTAGCTGCTGCATGGAATGCTCATTTGGACTTTGTTGGTGAGCACGGGTTGTTTACACCACTGTTAAGGTCTCGGTACCCTCAAGTTTACCCAAAACTGCTCAGAGAAGATGCAGGTTTTGTGTTAAATAGTCACTAGGTCTCCAGATACATGTGTTCACTGGAGGCTGGTGTATGTAGTCTATGTAAATCTATGTAGGCTGGTGTATGTATCTCTTCACCACTGACCCCAGTTCCTGACTGATAAAGATTAAGGCACCGAAGAGGTGGTACGCGCATGAATAGACCGTAACCCAGTTCCTGATTGACTGATTGATGAAGATTAAGCCACCCAAAAGGTGGCACGGGCATGAATAGCCCGTAAGTGGTGGCCCTTTTGAGCCATTACCAGTATTAATCACTGACACTGGAGATCTGTGGAGGCGCGACTGCACCCTGCGTGACGGGAGATGTTCAGTTCCTGTGCCCTTTCCCGTTATATTTCCTCTGGGCGGCCGGCGCGTGTCTGCCCGCCCCTCTTACAGTGCCCGCATGTTGAGGGAGGTCGTGTCCGGCAATATCCGGGGTGGAGAAAGCCGTTGGTGGAGTTGAGCAACTTTACCGTCCGGTACAAGGCCTCACCTCGTGTTATAACACCATCCAGGCTCCTCTAGTGCCCCCTCCTCCGATTTCTTGAGCGTGACCAATCTGGCAATTGGTTTCACTTTAATTGGACACATTCAGGAATGATTGTAATCTGAACTTGGGCCTCATCCAGAGCCAAGGACTCGTGTGCTTGTGCTGGGAAAAATATTGTATCACATCACAACAATAAATTTCAACTCCTATCTCTGCTTTAGATATCTTATCAACGTGCGATACAAGAAGATTAACACCGTTAATTCAAATTATTATTCAGGTAAAAGTGCATACACAGATGATGAGTTACAAACATAATGTTGGATTTACAGCTAGAGCTAGTACATACAATACCTAAAGCCACTAGTACGCACAGCATTTCGGGCAAATGATGTGAAAAAAGATGAATGTGAAGAGTAGTCCATCATGACCTTGAAACACGAGAGGCACCTGCAATCTAGGCACAAGTACATAAATTAGGGAGCGGCCGTATAGCCTAAGGCGGTGGTGGAACTGCTCAGGAATCCTACTCATATTCTAGTCAGAAAACGTTCTCCTTGTGGGGGGACAGTTACAGCCCCCCGCTCCTGTGCCAGGTATGTCCACTACGGGCTCACCATAGTCCGTGCTGCTTGGAACTATTTGTTCCCAGAGTAGCTGAATCTAAAACAACAACAACGTTCTCTCTCTGGGATGTGTGAGACCTCATTTTTGTTCTTAGTGTCACGATGACGTATAGAATGTTCATTCGTAATGCTCACTACCTGCTGCTCTAACATATGCACAGGTTGCAAGGCGGGTCTTACCAGGGCGTGACCTGCACACTGATGTCTCATACTTCAAAAAATCATATTTAAAAAATCATATTTGCTTCAATCATACTTATTTCAAACAATCATATTTGCTTCAAACAATCATATTTGCTTCAAACAATCATATTTACTTCAAACAATCATATTTACTTCAAACAATCATATATACTTCAAGCAATCGGAAAAAGCACCAATAATATTCTTCATGCCATGACCAAAATGACCTTGTGTCAACAAGATTAGATACTGTTGGCCTATTTTTAGACCAGTATGAGTCTGCCAACAGCTGATTCCTTATTATTTCACGTTTTCGAACATTTGCGTTTACAAGTGTTTTTCAAAATGAAACTCGGTGAATGAAGAAAGAAATGGTAATGAAATTTAATGATTCAAAATAAAATAACACAATTACGTAAAATATGGATATGAAAATCTAAAATTTTCCCTGGGATGATGCAGAATGATGAACCCTAGCCCCATGTATGGTACAACCCCCTCTTGCCTTATTAATATGATTAATAAGGCTTATTGATTGTCCTTGAGTAGAGAATCAATGCTAAAACCCCCAATATGACTGATTATCAACACACCTCCCCCAGCCACACACCCGCCACACCTCCAGGCGCCTCCCCTCTACCCTCCCACACACACACACACACACACACACACACACACACACACACACGACACACACACACACACACACAACACACACACAGTGGGAGCCAGAGCGCAACCCCCGCAAACCAAGTGAGTAGACACATCACCACGTTAAAGCCAGTGGGGGTCTGACCTTCTCGTCGCGAATGTCGTCGGCGGAGGTGGAACAAGGCTTCTCCATGGCGACGAGGCACAGGATCTGCAGCAGGTGGTTCTGCATCACATCGCGGATGATCCCGAACTCGTCGAAGTAGCCGCCCCGACCCTGCGTCCCGAACGGCTCTTTGAACGAGATGAATACCGAGGAGATGTTGTCCCGGTTCCATGTTGGCCCGAAGATCCGGTTCCCAGGGAGAGAGAGGAAGAGTCAGGGAGAGAGAGGAAGAGTCAGTGAGAGTGCTGACACTGCAACTTGTCTGAGGCTGTGAATGGACCAGTTTCAGGCTGGCCTCACTTTTCAGCCTCTCTCGTGGTTGTAAATACAAGATTGGATTAGACATGCAGGCGATGAGTCACAGTAACGTGGCTGAAGACATGATGACCAAACCATACGACCGAAGGTGAGGAAACGACGACGTTTCGGTCCGTCCTGGACCATTATAAAGTCGATTACCAACCGACTCGATAATGGTCGATTGATAATAGACTTGATAAAGGACGGACCGAAACGTCGTCGTATGGTTTGGTCAACATTAGATTAAACATAATAGTGAGAAATATGAAGTAGAATTAAAAAAAACATTGCATCCTCCATGGAGGATTCACATCCGATGTATATACATTACTAACAAACATGACAAAGCCCACCCAAACTTGGAGGAAATGTATATGTTTATCCCTCAGAATGTTCGGCAATATGTTTATTGTTTGTGATGTGTGTCTATATATGTATGAACACGTTGTACAGTTGCTATATACTGCGAAATTTTAGGAGCGTAAAACGCGTAATAGGCGACTGTGAGCGTAAAACGGTCTAACAGCCTAGTGTATGTAGATTATTAATTTATACATTTAGAACACATCAGTGTTCTAAATTCATGAACAAATCCACAAGGGCCGTGACGAGGATTCGAACCTGCGTCCGGGAGCATCCCAAACACTGCCTTAATCGACTGAGCTACTACGAGGTTCGAATCCTCGTCACGGCCCTTGTGGATTTGTTCATTTGATGCATCACGTTAGTGTGATCTCTGTGTGTTCTAAATTCATAACTGAACGGGGTGAGAATAGCCTGAACTACCTCATCTTTTTGTGTGTATTTTACCTCAATAATTTCTTATTTCAATTTCAATTCACCCAAATTGAATTCATTCGCTTTGCCCAGTGGACCATCCAACAGTTGGGTTTAAAATATCGACGAGTCTGGCCAGTAACTGGATGGGTAACCATACAGGCAGCCTCTTCATTGCCAAAGGACCTTGACAAGCAGCGGATGGGTTTGCTGTCCCCGATAAGATATACATTTAAACTAAGCATAACGAACAAGGGTTATCTTGAGATGATTTCGGGGCTTTTTAGTGCCCCCGCGGCCCGGTCCTCGACCAGGCCTCCACCCCCAGGAAGCAGCCCGTGACAACTAACACCCAGGTACCTATTTTACTGCTAGGTAACAGGGGCATCGGGTGAAAGAAACTCCGCCCATTGTTTCTCGCCGGCGTCCGGGATCGAACCCGGGACCACAGGATCACAAGTCCAGTGTGCTGTCCGACCGGCTCCCGGGGCTTTAAAGTACTGGTCACAAATCACCCAGTAGTACTGACATCCAACTTAACCATTAGTCCATTATCTAAAGAAACAAATCCACAAGGGCCGTGACGAGGATACGAACCTGCGTCCGGGAGCATCCCAGACACTGCCTTAATCGACTGAGCTACGACAGGGTAAAAGGGTTGAAACAGAAGTTCTACTGAACTTACTGTTCAGTAGAACAGTAGAATACTGTTCTCCATTATCTAACCCAGGTCAACACACCCCCCACGGCTCAGCCCTCACACCTTGCCACCATACTTGGCACTACTGTAAAATGTAAAAGAATGTAAGTGTATGTAAAGAATGTAAAAACATCAATATGTACTCTTATAAACCCAATGTACCTTCTTGTATATAAATAAATAAATTACTCCACTCTTATTGTACACTACATAAGATACTGATGTGTTCTAAATGCATAAATTAATAATCTATATACAATAGGCTGTTAGACCGTTTGACGCTCACAGTAGCCTATTAAGCGTTTTACACTCCTAAAATTTCGCAGTATATAGCTTCATATGTACATGGAAATGTTACTTGAAATGTTAAATGGCGTGTTAATATATTGTGTTTCCAAGGAGAAATGTGGATCTCTATTAAAAACATCCATGTCTGAAAAATATGTTACATGATAGAACTATCATAGTTAAAGTGCTGCTGAACCAGCCCGTCCTCTTGAGTGTTCACAACGTCACTAAACTGATGTACTAAATAGCCCGCACCTCACCTAGATTGTAACTTGCTTAGCTAAATGAATTGTGGGGTTCAGTCCCTGAGCCCATTATGTGCCTCTGTAACCCTTTCCACTACCGCCCACAGGATGGGTATGGGGTGCATAATAAATGAACTAAACTAACCTCACCTAGGAGACTACGAAGAGAAAACGGGACATCACGGCAATTATGCGAGTCTCCTCAAGTTTCTCTCTTCGTTCTTTGCGAACGAAGCTTCAAGTGTTGTGTTACAGATCAAGTGAAGATGTTACTGTTCGGTTTTCAGTTTTAAGGGGTTACTCCTTAAAACTGCCATGCTCTTGTTCACTGTGGCTAGCACACCGAGGCACACGGCCGGCGGGGCCCTATCAACCAACCTCCGACTCGCATTCGGCTTAAGGGCTATTCATGCCCGTGCCGCCTCTTGGGTGGCTTAATCTTTATCAGTCATTCAAACGCCTTCGGCAAATGGTCATTCGACCGTGGTAAACCGCGCCCACGGCTGCTCTTACTACTGACCCAATTACTGGGTCCTGTTGTTTTGCGAACCACGAAAAGGGTTTTGATTTCTTCATACTAAAAATTAACTTCGATTCTTATTTCTTCCACCTACATAATACCAGAACATACAACATTTCCTCCACCTACATAACACCAGAACTAACATACAACATTTCCTCCACCTACAATTATCACATAACTATTCAGGAACATTTTCTCTTATAATAATAGTCAAAATTCACCTGGAACTTTACAATTTATTCAGACTTCACATATTTCCTCCCGGTGTGTCATGTGAGCCATAAAGTATTAACCAATCTCCAGGAGAGGTTTCTGCATCAGTACTCCAAACCTACTGTATTTGTCTCCAGTATTTTCTAATGCTGGAGAATTATTATAGTGCTCGCACGGGGTTATCTTGAGGTTATCTTGAGATGATTTCGGGGCTTTTTTTAGTGTCCCCGCGGTCCGGTCCTTGACCAGGCCTCCACCCCCAGGAAGCAGCCCGTGACAGCTGACTAACTCCCAGGTACCTATTTTACTGCTAGGTAATAGGGGCATAGGGTGAAAGAAACTCTGCCCATCATTTCTCGCTGGCGTCCGGGATCGAACCCGGGACCACAGGATCACAAGTCCAGTGTGCTGTCCGCTCGGCCGACCAGCTCCAACTAACTAACTAAACTGACTAAACTAGTTGAACCGTTATCCAAATTCGCCCGTAAGTCTATATTACTTAATTATAACGTCCAGCAATATTATTTGGGATATGCAAAAGTTGTCAAGTTAAATCATGCCAACAATTTTAGAGAGCTTGTATTAACATAATAGTGGCTTTAGGCATTGTATGTACTAGCCCTATCTATAAATCGATCAATCTTTGTAAAATCTCTTGTATGTATGTACCTTACCTAAATAAACATTTATTTATTATTATTCATTTATTATTATAACATTAATTGCCCACATTTAGTCCTGTTGCACTTAACAGGCGCCAACGACACGAGACTAGGACATAGCTGAACACCCTGGTTGATACCTGGTTGATGGGGTTCTGGGAGTTCTTCCTACTCCCCAAGCCCGGCCCGAGGCCAGGCTTGACTTGTGAGAGTTTGGTCCACCAGGCTGACGCGCACAAATCACAATTGCGTGATGCATCAAATGAACCAAACTCAGTCGTAGCTCACTCGATTAAGGCAGCGTCTGGGATCTCTTGGACGTAGGTTCGAATCCTCGTCACGGCCCTTAATTAATGTGGGTTTGTTCACCCTGACGCGAACACTTTCCATGTGGTGTTGTGCTTCACTGACCCTTGTATAACACTACAGGAGTGTTAAAACTCGAGGGTCAGCTGTGTTCGGGTCCACTTCACAGCCCGTCCTCGAGCTCTTGTCACAACGGACATAAAATGATGTACAATATTGTCTGATCTACCCGAACCTAACCAGTGGACCCCATGCACAGAAAATGTGGTTGGTTGTGAGTTTAGTTCATTTATTATGCACCCCATACCCATCTTGTGGGAGGTAGTGAAAAGGGTTACAGAGGCACATAATGGGCTCAGGGAGCCGCTATGATTTACAGTACGCAATTGTTTTGTTCGTTGCGGATTTTGACGTCAAAATGTGATGTATTATTCGAGAGTCCAGGATGATAACAGACGCTATAGTTAGCAACTTGCCCCAACTGGTGAGAGGTCCAGGATGATAACAGACGCTATAGTTAGCAACTTGCCCCAACTGGTGAGAGGTCCAGGATGATAACAGTCTCTATATTTAGCAACTTCCCCAACTGGTGAGATAAGTCAAACCAACAGGTTAAATTCAGCATTGCCTCAAGCCACAAAACAGCCCAACTGGATGAAACTCGACGTTTACGCAACAATTAAGAAAGAAATCGCAGTGTCCTCGACCTGTGTTGTGGAGCGCGCCACCCACCCAACACACAGTCACCAGGGGCCAGATACACAAAGCAGTCACGCAAGCACTTACGAACGTGTACATCTTTCCTCAATCTTTGAGGGCTTTGTTTACATTTATTAAACAGTTTACAGGCATGAAAACTTGCCAATTAACTGTTGTTATTGTTATAAACAGCCTCCTGGTGCTTCCGAGCTCATTAACTGTTTAATAATTGTAAACAAAGCCGCCAAAGGTTGACAAAAGATATTGTGCTTGCGTAACTGCTTCGTAAATCTGGCCCCAGTTACCTGGTGTGACTTACAATCAAGAGCATCGGCTGCCTGGGGAATAGCTACACACAATTAGGTTTAGCGAGAAGGGATCTCGTGGGAACTCAACACCCGCAAAACTTGCATTTATTGCTAAGAAATTACTATTCATTTTTAACTTAATTAAGCGACTATGTTGTATTGCAATTGTGTTAAAT